AACGTGGTGTCTCTCCCCTCACTTATGTATCACTGACGTGGTGTCTCTCCCCCCCCCCCCCTTTCATTTATCTACCTCTGACGTGACGTCCCCTCCACCCTCACTTATCTACCAATGACGTGGTGTCCCCCCTCTCATTTATCTACCACTGACGTGGCGTCCACCGTGAGCAGCTGTTGGAGCACCGGGTCGTGCATGCAGCCCTCCACAAACTCCTCCTTTGAGATGACGCCGTCTTTGTTGGTGTCTATCCGGGAGAAGATACCCTGTGTCCGCTCCTTGGGGGTCTCCTTCACCTGATCCGCCAGACTGCCCAGGAGATGGTGGATGGCCGTTATGATCTTCTCCATTTCAGTCTGGTCGATCGTCCCGTTACCGTCAATGTCGTAGAGGGAGAAGGCCCAGTTGAGCTTCTGCTCGGGGTCACTGTCCTTAGAGGTCATGCTGATGGCCACCAAAAATTCCTTAAACTCGATCGTGCCGTTTTTATCTATGTCGAAAGATCGGAAGACGAACTCACAGAACTCGCTGGAGTTCCCCTGCGGGAAAAACTCGGAGTACACTTTCAAGAACTTGTCTTTGGTCAGTTTTCCGTCCGGGCAATCCTTCATGAAGCCCTTGTACCACCGCTCGATCTGGTCTTTGCGGAACTTGGTGTTCTGTGTCAGAAATCTCATGTCTTCTTTGGAGGCGCGTGAGAGACTTTTGCCCATTGTGTTTGATGTTTGGGTTTTTGGCTCGACGGCTTATTTGATTTGTTTTGTTTGAGGATTTTACCGATGCACTAATGAATCTGGTAGTTATACGAAGATCACGATTTGGGCAATAGTTTAGTGATGCTTTAAATAAAAACAAAAGTCCTGTGAAGATCGAAATAGTGTCAATAGTCCTACGAAGATTAAGTCTTTAGTCCTGTGAAGATTAAGGCTACAGTCCGGTGAATATCGGGATAATAAAGGAAAAGGTCCAGTGAAGATTTGGGCAATATTCTTGTGAAGATTTGAGAAACAGTTCTTTGACGATCAAGATATAGGCAATAGTCCAGTGAAGATCTGTGTGTAGGAATTAGTCCTCAACAAACTTCAGAACTCAGTCAAAGAAACCGAGCTACCTTGACGACACATCCAAGAGACGTATATGGCTGTTTGAGCTGCACAGAACTCACTCACTCACTCACTCACTCACTCACTCACTCACTCACTCAACGCTAGATGTGTTTATGACGAGTGGTGTGAAGTCCACGAAAAAAGAACCAACCTCCCACGTTGACGCTGAGCTGGAGAGAAATAGAAAGAATCCTTCGATGTGGAGAAGAGTGAACCTAAGTCACACGCGCGGACTTGCACTCGTGGAGAAATGATGTCTGGGTGAGAGAGCCAGCGACTGCTGCTTTTTATTTGGCACAACGACTGTTATCTGACGCACAAACAAAACCGCACACAGTACAGCCATAATCTGAAGAATGTGTTCCCAGGGCAACAGGTCGGTCCGCGGGAGCGCGACAGGTGTCATGGTGTGGTGGAATCTGGAGACGGTCAATTTTTGGTGCTTAACATTCAGGTATTGATAGATGGGCCTCGACGCAGTAAAATCAGGCGCTCGTTAATAATTGCTGAGCTGTTGCAAAGCAAGACCAGCGATCCGTACTGAAAAGCTTGCTTTTTATAAAATATAAAAACGTACTTTGTCTACCAGACCTGTAACATTTTCAAAGTGTATTACGGCGCTCGCAACTGCATATTATGATAAGGTCAGATGACCGCGCCGGACACATTAAGCATATTATTCAGTTTGGTATAAATTAATTTTGAATTTTGCCCAGGTGGCGGCTGAAGCCTACTCTTATCGATTTTAGGACCATCAAGGGACCTTTTAACGTGCGCAACGTGCATATCTTATCCGAATAGGCTGGATGATAATATTTTACTTACCCAAAAATCAGGGGTATAGCTGAAAGACAGCAGTAAGAAGAAGATAATTAGTTGCAGTATAAAGGCTGCAGAAAGAGTCAGAAGCCCAGAAGAGGGGGCCGGGGGGGGGGCGGAGATTGAAGAAAGTGGAGACGAAAGCAGACGACAGAACATGGTTAGAGAACAGAAAAGGGAGTGAAAAGAGAACATATTTTTATGGAAAAAAAAATTTCGTCGCTGTCAGGTTTCGACGGCGAAACGCCTATAGTGTGGTCAAAAATTCGTGGTATAACTCATTGTCCAATATCTCCTCAACTATCGAACATAGGTTTTACATTTTTTGCAAATTGGTTTGTATCTATTTGTCTTAACAGATTAGCATTTTTGTAAACACCTGCTAGCTGTATTCTAGAACATTTCTAAATAAATACTAATAAGAAATCCAAGTGGTTGGTTTCTACAGACTTGTAAATGTTTACAGCTCGGGCAATATTGCTTTTAATATCAAGTCCGTCATGTTTTTTTCTTCTAATCGAGACATTATGTTTATTGAACACATGTTTTGAGAACCAATAGTGCAAAATACGCGTTCACTATAAAAATAATTTCTTGTAACAAGTTTTTCAACTACAAATTTTCATTGATCAGCTGTGACGTAGGCCAAGCAATCAAAATGGGTGTGAGAAGCGGGAAGTGCTATGAATAATTCAATTTTACGTGTGACAGACACTTCAAGTATTTTATAAAAATTTGAAAACTTTTTTTATCTAGCTCCAATTGTTCGGGGAAAATGAGATTTAGTTAAGACAAATTGATATAAACTGCTGGGCATAGTATGGATGACATTGATTCACCTGTTACAAAGATATTTGAGCACAAGTTGCGCCCCGAATTTTTGACCTCACTAATAGAACGGCGTCTGCGATATAGCGAATACCTGGATACCTGGAGGTGTCATCTCTTACTCAGAGGGTGGGTGGTTGGCGGGTGCACTGGTGTGGTTTGCTTCTTCTTTCCTATCAAACATCTATCGTCCTTATCTCCCCTTCTTCTTTCTTATGTATGTTTGTTACTCTCTTGTAACACCTCTAATCTTCTGGCGCTCATATGACCTTATGCAGTTGCGAGCGCCGTAAAACCTCTACTACAACTAAAACTCACTCAGAGGTTGACGTATAATGACCCTCCATCCTTCACGGTCGCGAGCTGCCGTTGTACATTCTGCCATATCCAGGCCTGTCCATACTCTGTTGCTGTCCATTCATGTTCTGCTTTGCCTTCCTCTGGCTCTCCTGTTCCACACCTTTCCTTCAAATACTTCTTTTACAATGGATCGTGTCATTTTAAGTGGCCATAGTATTGGTTTTAAAAAAAATAATTTATTCAGCAGAGTTTGGCTTGTGTGTAGAATCTGACACTTCTCTTTGTTTGTCTTTTTTGTTTTCCAACTTATTCTGGCCATTCTACGGTAGCACCACATCTCAAACGCATTTATTTTGTCAGGCGATTGGGTGCTTCAAAGTCGCACTCAGGAGACCCGAGTTCGATTCCCTAGTTTGGAGTTGTAGGTTATTTGTTGTTCTTTTGTTGGGTGTTTGTTTTGTTTGTTTGTTTGTTGTTCTCTAGCAATGTTCTCTCGTCTGATTTCGTCTCCTTTTTCTTCCCCCACCCTCTCACCTTCTTTTCCCCTCCTATGGACTCTTTCTGCAGCCTTTCTACTGCTACTCCTTGGCTCCTTACTGCTGTCTTTCACCCGAACCCCTGATTTTCTGGTAGGAAAGATGTGCACCTAGCCTTCTCGGACAAGGGCGAAAAATTTCGAAGGTCCTGTGTGCAAAGTGCGCACGCTAAAGATCCCTTGGTGGTTCAAAATCGATAAGAGTAGGGTTCAGCCGCCACCTGGGCAAAATTCAAGAATTGCCTACGTGGAATTTATTGAAAAACATTGACAAAAGACACAAGAAATATAAATCAAAATTTGTAGTTTCCAAGGACACTACAGCTTGAAGAGTCACCATACTGTAGCAACCATTCCCTCGTTGATTTTACCTCTGACACCGGGCGACCCCCACCTCCTTCAATCGCAAATATCTCGACTTCTATTCAAGAGAGATTGGTATGATTTGTAGTTGTTTCTTTTTAAAAAATCAAATGCACGTTAAATGAACAAGCTGAAACATGATATCAATAACTCCACAATATGCTCAATAATTGACGAGTGTCTGATTTCACAACCCTCCCGACACTAATTTCGTACTGAAGCAAAAAACGAAATCGGTGTCCAAACAGAACGTTAAAAAAGCACAAAAAACCAAGCTTGCAAAGTTAAGGGGAAATGTTCTAGAGATAGTGTAAGTATTAGTAAAAATGACAGCACTTGCAACACAAGTAGATCATATAAGTGCCGGAGATTAGAAGTGTTTCTAAATAGACAGTACAGAGGAAAAGAAGGAGGAGAGATAAGGACGACAGATGTTGGATAGAAAAGAAGGAGCAAACCAAACCACAGCACCCATTCGTAAAGATAAGAACTTCGAACTCACAGAGAACAAAATATTAATAGCTAATGTTAACGTAATAATATTATGATGACTTTTCTCTTCGAAAGCAAGCTTTTAATTTTAAGGCGATAATATACATATCAAAATATGTTACAACTGCTAATACGTTATGATATCTTGTTCTTTGTAATACTCATATACATAAAACAAAAACATCGAATGAAGAATTAGTTTTTTATATGATTCTCTTAATTTTCTAATGTGTTGCCTGTCATGCTGTGTTGGGGGATTTTTAAAAAATAAAAGTGGTTTTTACGCCACCATCGAAACAATTTAGATCATCTAGAAGTCAGGCTTCGCCCCTGCTTTTCAGGACCATCCCGGGCTGAAAGGGATACAACACATAGATAGATAGAAATTCTTCCCACTCGGGAATCAAGCTCGGGTCATCTGCGTGCGACGGCAAAACGTTTACTACATACACCACAGACGCCGGTGCGTACATGGTTCGTTGTCATGTACGTGAATAGAAATCTTTCTCACGATATGAATAACTAGCAGGGCCCCCTTTCAAAGAAAGGTATGATCGGTGCATTAGCATCAACTGAAAGTCATTGGCCTACTATATTTACACGCTACTGGAATGGAGCAATAAATCTTGAGAGATGCATAAAAATTAGAAGGTCTAGATGTATACTCTCAAAACAAAAAAGCGTTTCGCGATACATCACTTTCGGCATTTCCTCTGTGAAGGACAGCTTTGTTTCGTTTCTCAGTGAAATAATCACAAAGGCCAAAGACGGACGGGAACTTTCTCTGAAACATATTTTTCTAAATTCAGGAAATGAATAAATCAAAAATCGGGCTCCGTCATGGGGACCTATCTATCTTTCTGCAGGTACTTTCCAACTTTCAAATCTGTAGCTGAGGTAGTTTCATGGGAAAAGTGACAAACATGTTTCGAAGTTGTAAAATAAATAATAGATAAGTGTTCCCTCAGTGTTGAAGGCCTCTGGCCCGCGTCACGTAAAACATAATACGTATATTACAGAAGAGACGTCCACGGCAACAACATGAATCATAGGAGGCTTGTGTGGTGAGCTTTTAGCTGTTCAGCTATGACAAGGTTCCCTATCACGTATTTTGTGTGGTGAGCTTTCAGCTGTTCAGCTATGACAAGGTTCCCTATCACGTATTTTGTGTGGTGAGCTTTCAGCTGTTCAGCTATGACAAGGTTCCCTATCACGTATTTTGTGTGGTGAGCTTTCAGCTGTTCAGCTATGACAAGGTTCCCTATCACGTATTTTGTGTGGTGAGCTTTCAGCTGTTCAGCTATGACAAGGTTCCCTATCACGTATTTTGTATGGTGAGCTTTCAGCTGTTCAGCTATGACAAGGTTCCCTATCACGTA